GAACTGAAGTTAGAGTCACTGTGACGAGTTTGCAGATTTAGTCTATATCTCAAAATTAAAAAACAGCTATTACATCCCACAAAAATTGAATTTCAATCATTTTTCTTTTTTGCAGCGATTTGGTAAAAAATGAAATTACTTTCCACTTTTTTTTTCTTTTTTTTTTTTTTCGGAATTGTAATGGAGTCTGAAATCTGGTTCTATCACCACCACCCACATTGTGTAATACTACTAATTCAAACTTAACATAAACAAGTCAAGTATAATTTAAATTTTGAAATTAATATTTAAAAAATTAAATTTTTTAATATATTAGATTAACGTCTGAAAATATACTTTAAAAATTGTTGAAAAAAACTTTAAAATATATAAAAATTAACTCAAAAACATCTTAATTATAAAGAAAAACAAACACATATAATTAAAATTAATAAAGGTTTTCATTTTCTTTTTGTGCAAATAGGAAATTTTATAAATAGATAAACTAGGCCTTACAAAAGTTGATCTGATAAACAAAATATCCATCCCAATCATGGGAGAAACAAGAAGCACAAAGAGTATGAACAGAAGCAAAAACAACAAAGGGTTCCTCCATAATTACGTTCCCTTCGTCGTCGACAGGCCAGGTGGACAAGAACAATCGCCGCCACTGCACATAGCAGAGACGCCCGGCCGACACATAATATTCTTGCATTCAATAGGAAATCTGCACTTCAGTCCCACAGGTATTGCTTTCGCTGAAAAAACCAAACCTACATACCAAAGACTTCGATTACCATATGTTCTAATGTAATTATTAATGAAGAGTATGCGTGTGTGGGTATGAACAGGAGAGCTAGCAAGTGGTATGGACTATGGAGGTAAATAATTAAGAGAAGATTGGGACTAACCTGTGGCTAACAGGAAAATAAAAAACGCCATCTTTACAGAAGCCTTCTCCATTGGTTGTGTTTGTCTGGAAAAGTAATGAAAGGAATTAGATAGAACGCTTGATTGATTAGATTTACTCTTGTAAGGTAAGTTCAAATTTGGTTAAATATCCAATTGCAAGTATGAAATTAAAAAAATTTCATGCAAAGAAAGACTAGACAGCAAATTAAAAAAAAAAAAAAAACCATAAACTTGATTAATTCAATAGAAAATTGAAATAAAAAACAATCTCATGACACAGTCCCAAACATTCCAATTGCAAGTGAGGAATTACATGGGTAAGTAAAAAGAATACAAGATCATACCAGAAATTTTGCTCAAGGAAAACACGATTTCAACAATAGCAGCAGGTAGAGCTCTCAGACCTCTTCTCTCTCAAAACTTACCCCTGAAACTCAGATTACAATCCCTATTTATACAAAGAAAAAGCAAACCCTAACCCCTCCTGATCACCGTTGATCTTCATCGCTCCTCTCCCTGCCGTAGATCCAAAAAAATCCAAGATTTAACCTCCTTTTTTTGCAGATCTGAGCAAAGACAGCTGCACGATTCTGGAGTTCCTGTCATGGCTTCTTGAATGGCTAAGGGAATCGGGACCATTGCCCGGAATGGAGAGTAAGGACAGAGGAGAGGAGGCTACTATGTTTGGCCGAAAATAGGGGGTTGGAGCTTTGAATCAAAACGACGTCGTTTCAGTGATGGAGTTCTGCTCAGCCCATGACTTCTACCCGTGTGACACTTTGGTCCCCATACTCAGTTTGCGTTGCAGTCAAGTCCTTGCAAATTGCAAAACAAAGCCAACGTAGTATATTTTCTTCTCGCAAAAATTTGAGTTATAACAAGAAAGTTTTAACTTTTGAGCATATTAAGAAACCTATGTAATGACCTTAAATATAAATATAAGAATATTTAAGATTAGAGATAAGTATTTATTAATTAGACTTATAAAAAAAAA